AATCCCACTATTCGTTGGTAAAAGAGTAGCCCAAGAGTTGGCGGTGGGTGGTGATGACTAGCTGCCTTCCCTCTAGTCTTACACTGCTAAATTAGGGACGGCTAGCGCAGATAGCCCTCGTGTAGCTTTGCGCGAAATTCAAAAAACAAACAAAAAACAAAACAGTCTTATTGGAAGTTTAGAAATGTGTTGCTATAGGGCAGAGGGCTTATGTGCGAGTACCTTGTTTTATATATTTTAAACAGCTTGACACGCCAGTGGTTTTCAGCTTAGGGTAATTACGGATCTGTACCCAACACAAACACGCCAGGTTTGGCTAAGGAATTACGCTGTTGTATTTCCGAAATTATTGGATGAAATTTTAAATATATATATATATATATATATATTATGATTAAGTATTAGGTAGAACTATGTTAATTTTGCTTTTTATAGTTTATTAACATTTTAGTGTAAATCAAAGGTAAAGTATTATTTATCGTTGGTATAAGCTTTACCCCATCATTTTTAAAACATATGTTTTGTAACTTTTAGGTCTTATAAAAACACGCGCGGTACCAGAATACACAATTTATATCATTTTGAAAGTTATTGTGATTAGCTATAGTTTTTGTCAGACTACGCGAGCAGAATCGGTAAAACTCGTGTTGACCACTGTCATGTGTCACAAGTTTACGTATCCACTTTATGAAGATAACCTTATTTTATTGATAGGTCTGTAACTTCGTCTATGAAGAAATATTAGGTGTGTTTTACAGCTGAAGGTGTGTAGTACGTTGTAAGTGTATCGGGAAGTTGAGTAGAAAAAGCTAACCGTGCTACTGTTCACAGCCTACGCAGGTTACCGTAAGGACAGGTTTCACGTGACCTTGTGCTTGTCTTAGCAACTAGCAGGCAACGATTTTGTTCTCGTACACGCAACAATACATTTGTTCTGTCTTACACAACACACTTTGACAGAATTACTGCACTCGTCTAACCCTGAAAGTCTTGTTAAATCTTGAGCAAATAAAATACGTCGCGCATTATAACTTTCATTTCTGTGCACTGTTTTAAGAACAACTTCTCAAAGCAGCAAAAGAAGGGGAAAAACTTATTGAATTACCAGAGAAAGGGTGTCCTAGCCTGAAATGTTTTGAATATTAAAACACCTATTTAATGTTAGCCTTTTTTGTGTGGTATAAGTTCCCCCTTCTTTTGTTTTTGATTTCATCGTACCACAGCAGTCTTTAGTTGATTTGTCACAGAAGAAGCTCGTACTTTGGTATACTCTACATGAGAAAGATATTCGATATCCTACAAGCAAATTCAACCAGTCATAAGTATTTTAACAACACAGTTCCTATCATGTCTTGGACAAAAAAATGTTTTGAAAAATCCGCTTCTTTTAAATACTGAATGAAAGTTCAATTGTTGTACATCAATCAACCTGTAGGTTCTACCTCTTCGACGTTCAAGTACACGCACACATTGTTACGCTGGTTCAATTCAAACAGTGACGTGGTTTGAGTAACTGGTTTATTAGCCACTTGTACAAAATATTTTACTTTTTCAAACAGTACCAGACTAGGGTTGCTTCTCTGGTACGGGACTCATGATTGACTCGCCGAAAACACCGTATAAGACTCTTAAAAACCTCATGTTCTGTACTATATACCTAATTCTTAATCATAACTGATTCTAAAACCCAAAACTGAGAAAAAGAGAAGATTACATAAGGTTTCACCAAACTACGCTAATGCATACAGTGCCCTATTTTCAAAATCAGTTATAAGACAGATAATGTTGATACAAACAATTTGAACATACGATAGTATAATTCATATACATGAAAAAACAAAAAAACATTTTAATCGTTCACAACACTACCCCTTGCCTAAATTTAAACCGACCTAGTAAAATTAGAAATACATCAAAAATTACATTATTCACAATGGCCATTTGGTTATACCCAACCTAACTGGCGAGGTTCTTTTCTCTTCCTAGTAAACTTTCTTTGAAGCATTTGCTCTTAACCTCTCGGTAGCGCTGAAGTGACTGCATACGCGTTGTTCAGCAATAGGCATAGTCTTTATTAGTGTGCTTGAAATGCCTGCTCTTCCACCACTTTTCTGGCCTCCAGTGTTTCCGTTGATTCACATTGACCACCTTGGATATTTTGTAGTATTCACCCTTTGTCTTGTACTTTTCATCTGAAAGCTGTTATGTAACCTCATAAGGATCTTCCCTGTTGCTGTGCGGCTTTGGAGACTTCCTCTTCTTCCTACGAGGTTATGAGACTAGAAAGGTCTCCAGCATTCAAGTGATGTAAATGCGACTTGACATCATAGCTCTACCTCATTGCCTGTGCAGTTGAGCTGAGGTTCTCTCTTGCATGTTTGTGTATTTCTTTCAGTTATTCTTGCAGATTCTCTACAAAGTCAGTAGGGCTGCTTCTAGTGGTCTCCAACTGATCAAATCACTGGTAGTCAAAGTTCTCGTCCCATCATCAGCATGGCGGGTGTATAGCATGTAGCTTCAGGAGTCTTGTAAGCTATAAGCAGTGCTGGTAACTTTAGATCCCAATTGTTATGATTTTATTTGCTGAACTTGACTAGTTGCCTGCCTAATGTCTAGTTTAAACATTCTATCATTCCATTTGATTGAGGTTGTAATGGTGTTAACTATTTTTTTTTATGTCCAATAATTCACATCATTCCTTAAATACTGCTAACTCAAAGTTTCTTCCCTGGTCTGAGAGAAGTTCCATGGGTAGGCCGAATCTTGTGAAGAACTGATCAACCAACATTTTTACTACTGTATGTGCTTCTTGAGCTGGGATTGTATAAGCTTCTGGCCACTTTGTAAAATAATCCATAGTTTGTTTCTAGTGTCACTTTTTGGCAATCGTCCTATGAGGTCAATAACTATTCTCTTCATTGGTGCTCGCACCCATGGTGGGCAGAGCACAGATAACCCATTGTGTAGCTTTATGCTTAATTACAAACAAACAATCATTGGTGTTCTAACCTGGTGCAGTTTATGTTACTCTCCTTAGTTTGAAAGACCCAATTTTTCCAGCAAATACTTTATATGCTCAACACCATTCCTCAACATCCCTTCTCATGTCACTCTAGTAGAATCTTACCCAAAGTTGACCAAATGTCTTCATTGCAAGATGCTATCATGTGACTATCGCGAAGTGGTTGCTCGCATTAACTTGGGAATGACTGTTTACCAATACTGTTTTGTCCCATCTGGGTTTTCTCATCTTCTTTGCAATATATCAAACTGTAGATACCACATGTTTCACTGAGCCCAGTATGCCAATAATATGGAAATTTCAAATCAGAACGTGTTTTCACAACTGGTGTCACAATAAATTGTCATCTTAAAATCAATGGGAATGATCTCAGCTTCTTCCCATAAGAAAATTTAGTCCTAAAATACACTTATCTTTTATGTCTGTAGTATAGACTTTCTGTACACCCACATTGACCTTTCCATTTAATGGCATTGACTGTCCAATTACTTCACTCATTTTTATCTCCACAATCTGGGAATTACTTCTGACCCAAGAGTTCTAACTGTAGTAATGTTCAGTTGGATTCAGTTTCTAAAGACATCTGACACTTGATTCCATCAACCTCTACTGCTGCCTGTATGCAATATATAGAAGTCTCTTCCTCCCCCACTTTTCAAGGGTGGAGCTTGTTTGATATTGACCCTGCAAGGTCAGCCCTCAGTGGTTTAATTGTTACTGCCTTCTTTTTCTCTGGAGCATCTATCTTTATTTTGGACCAACAGTTGTTTTTGTAATGACCCTTCTTCCTACTGTTATAACACTCAATATTTTTCACATTTTTGTTGTTATTTCCCCCTTTCCTGTTCGAAATAATTGATTACATCTGGTTGTCATTTCCCCCAATTGACTAAAATCCATCTTTTCAAAAACTTTGTTCATCTGTGTTGCTACCTTTCTTATTTTGTTTTCCAGATAATCTAATAATTTATTGTATAATTCCTGATTTCTAGCTTGTACTGCTGTAAAACACTTCTTGCTGTTACCAGTAACCATCTTGTTTTGTTATCAACAGCTTACACGTGACATCATGCATGCTTCAAATTCCAATGAATATGTTAAAGCTTCTTGGACAGTCTGGGTTCGAGCTTTCTTAACATGGTTTATTTTATTTGCCATCATTGTCTAGAGCATCAATGAACCGATCTCGTAACAACACTTGTAATAGAGTTGGTTCCACAGTTGGGTAGGTATAATGGGTTTCTCTAGTTTCTGCATCAACTGTTGTAGTGGCTCCTGATGTTGTTTCACCCTTGGCCTGAACTTGGATCGATACGCCTCTTCTTGGCGTAAAGCTACAAACATTTGCTCTAAAGCTCTAGTTAGGGATATATAGTCTTGCTGAAGATGGATTGGCAGGTGGCCCAAGACTTTTGAAGCTGTTCCGTTCAGGTTACCTGCAAATTGGATCAACATTGTTCTTTTGACCAACCATGACCTCTAACCAACAATTGGAATTGGGCAGAAAATGCTTTTCAAGAAACTGAGCCATCAAACTCCTGATGTTATTTTTGTACTTAATGGTAAGTTTGTGCAAAAGGTCCTAGTCCAGGAGTGTCCTGTAAGAGCTGTTTTTCCTTTCATTAGTGATATGAACTGGTTGAA